GAAACACAACCCGTCTGCCCTCCAGAAAAGTTGCACCAAATTGCACTCCCATAAATAACAAAAATACCCATAATGCCAACACTTACACAGCCCTTACTCTGTGCACTGTTCCAAGCCCTTTCCATATACTAACCCATTAATCCTCCTAACAGGTCCATGAGAGATGTATGTTATTATCCCCATTATACACATGGAAAAACTAGCCTGTGACCTGATTCTAGTGCCAGAAATGGAGAGGAATGGATGAAATGAAAGACAGAAAGATTTGATTCCCCACACTTTTGTCAACACTTGGTTATTTTATTTTTCATTCTGGTGGGGGAAAATCATACCTCATTTATATCTGGTATGCATTACATGAATCAACTTAATATTTCCAACAACTTCTTTGGATTCTGTAACATTCTTCGTATTATACAAAAAGAGCAAGTAAGGTTCAGAAAGTTAGTGATGTGCCAAAAGCTACACATCTGGTAAACGATTAAGCTTAGATTTGGCTCCAGAGTCTTTCCTCTGTTACCATACTGCCTCTTCACCTAGAGACTGGGATGTTTGGAAATTTGGTCTTGTCCTTAAGAATGACCTTCTAGAAGATAGCAGAATGGGAACTCAGGGAAGAATTCACTCTGACCTGCTCCATTTAACATTTGATGATGGGGTTCCTGGGGGCTGGTACAGAGGTTTCCTCCCAGTCTCATTGGCACTGTGGTGCAGCAAACACATCCAAAAATATGTTAGAAAAGAGAAAGGCATTATAATAAGCCTGTGCCTCCCTTTGTCTTGTGAGGTTTTAACTACTGTAATTGCCTGTAGTGTGAAGTAGTGTATTTTTCGTGTATCTATTTTTATTCTGTCTATCTGTGTATCTGCTTTTTTGTTTTGTTTTTTTGTTACCTCACTTGAGTCCTGGTGGGCCTTTTTCCCATGAATAGTTTTGCCTCGAGAAAGCACACATTCTCATACAGACACATACACCCAATAATATTATGAAGGCTAAATAGGGTAGAATTTATTTTTTAAAGCTAATGGCAAAATCTGAGCAGATGACTTTCTAATCCATACTGTCTTTAATTAGCTGTATTGAACCATACTACAAATTAAGTCTTCTCTGTAATTTACTCTGTCAAATGGTAACCCCCAAACAATTTGGTAGTTCATTTAAACATTCGGAAATGACTCATAGAAATGCTAAGAAAAAAAACAGATTGCGTGATGATCAGATAAGAAACCCTCTGTTCACAGAATGAATCCTATGTGAAATGTGAATTAACCTGATTCAGTCATTCATGGGGTGTTTGTTGAGCAGCTACCTTGTGTAGTGTATGTCTTCGGACTGCTTGGTCCTTCCTTCCTTCCTTCTTTAGTTCATCAAGCATTTAGCACTTACTGTTACAATAATAGGAACTGGGATAAGAGTGGAGAACCAGACATGACTCTCTCTCAGGGAGCTAATGTCCCCAAGCTGGAGAGAAAACATGTGCATAGATGTCTCCAAATGCCCTGCCCTGCTCAGTTCTTTCTGCTGAGAATGGCCTTTCCTCCTGATTTTCTGGGGACTTCCCTGTGTCCTTCAAGGCTCAGTCAGGATGAGCTTCTTTGTCACATCTTCCCTCGTGCCCTTCCCCCTTCCTGCTCTGAGCCTACATAGCATCCTGTGCACAACTTTAATGTAACACTTGTCTCATTATATTGATTGTTAGTTTCTTTGCCTGCTTGTCTTATGAGGTTGCAAGATGACCTCATAAAAGGGACTATGAGGAAGGGACTTTGTTTTAACCATTTGGATAGATGTAGTGCTTAGTGTGAGACCTGGATCATAACAGACACTCACTAACTACAGTGATGGGAATAACTAGATGAATGGATAAACACACAACACAATGAAGAAGTGTGTAGTGTAGCATCCTAGGTAGGAGAACCAATACAATGCAGTGGGGTCTAGGGACAGGAATTATTCCTCAGGGAGATCAGGGGAGTCGGAGCGCAGGATATTGGAGCTAGCCTTTGAAACCAGTTATGATGCAGTGCTGTGGATCCAGTGGCTCAGGGCTCCAGGGATGAAGAGGGCAGTCAGCAGAGAAAACAACGTGAGCAGGAGCACAGGGCTGAGAGAGTACAGAACCCAGAGCAGGGGTGATGAGCCCTTCAGATGATTTGCGGCCTAGGGTTCCTGGAGTTCAGCCTGGGAGGAAGGTCAGACTCGACTGAAGAGGGTGATCTCTAGATTGTCCTTGGAATTCTTCAGTGATAACTTTTCATCCATTGTGTAAGGAGGAGAGCTCAGAATGGGAGGAATAAATATAGCTGTGGCAGAGAGATGTAGTATTCTTAAAGACACTATTTTTAAAACCAAATACCTGCTTTGATTTTTGGCATACTTTAATATCTAACCTAAGTTTTTCTAAGACAGAAACTGTTTTCCAAAGGAAATGTGGAGGATGACCAGAATCTGCCATTCCTCCACCCTCTCCCTATCCCTCAGCCCTGTGTTCTCTGCCTCCTCCAGACCAACCTGGGATGCCCCAAGATCTCTCCACAGAAGCACTTACTCCTGGGGTGAAGCAACCCTCATTTCCCATAACAAGGTCCTCACCTTACCTTTCCAGTCTTGGCTGCTCAGCAGATATCACAGATGACCAACCCCCCAAGAGTACACTTTGAGATCACGCTGTCTCGACCTTTCTTCTCTGAGACCCTTGAGACTGGCCTTTACCCCAGACATTCTGATTTTTGACACTCTGTGACCTCGGATACCTTGTGGAATTCAAAACAGCCTCAGCTTTACCTCCCTGCCCAGCTCCCCACTTCCTTATCCCAGCTTGTTAGGGTCGTGGTTTTGTTGTCAGAAAAGGGAGCCTGGAGTCTAAGGAAAGGAGACCTTGATTCTACATGGTCTTCCTCTTTACAATGTTTTTTCATCCTGAATAGGGAGAACAAGGCCTGGGTTTAGGACTGGTCCTGCCAGAACTCTCCCTGACCCTCAGTCCTTTCGTGAATAAGCTCAGAATAGAACTATATGATGTTTAAGGTTCCTTTGGCTCCAACTGTCTTTGATTGTGCTGATAAAAACCTGCTTGAAGACATGGAGCAATTTTGAGGCTCAGTGAACAAGTATTTGCAAGATCTTCTGTGTTGCCAAGATGAATGTGATAATACGACTGAAGGATTAGCAGGGTTCTAATGTATTTGTATATCTAAGTATCTATATCATGTCTGCATGGTTAAGGTTGGAGAAGTGTAGACATATCGCCTCACTGACTCTTAGTTTCCGAATGAGTAAGCCACTTTCAGAGCAAACCTTTTTAACATGTCATCAAACTAACTATGAGGAAAGATGATGTTCAGATATCTTTAAACACTTCACACACACACACAGCTACACTTTGCGAGGCAATATGAGGTATCATCAGGCGTTAAAAATGTTTTGATTTTAAAACACTTAATGAGGACTCCGAGATAAATTAAAACGTCTCCATCTGCTATCTTGCATGGTAGGTGATCTTTTACCATTGCACAATCATCTCCAAATCTAATTTCACCAGGAAGACTTTTAATCACAGTTTAATTTTAGAGCAATATTCCACTTGGCAATCAATAACGTACTGTTGTCAAACTTTGATTTAATAAGAAACGTGGATAACATTCTCCACATTATGCAGAGAGAAAAATACTTTCAGGAAAGAGAAAGAGAAAGTCTTTGTCTCCCACTTTCCCATGCTGCATACCATTCTCGCTCACAAAAGCCTATAAATCAATACCCCCTTGTTGTATGAATATAAATCTCATCAATTTTACATCATTAGCACCATGAAAAAGCTACCGCTCTTTGAGCAATTTCCCTCTGCTAGCTGAATTTGTCCTCTTAATAAAACAAGAATGAATGGATCCTGATTATTTTACTAACAGACACTTCCTTCTTCACCAACTTTATTTGTGTCAAAATCCACTAGAATTATACAGTTATCTTATGACCACTTGAAGGAGTAGGGTGACTGGGTGGTGATAATACCCTCTAAGCCTGATGTCTGGTGGATCTTGGGCAACCTTGACAGGTCATGAAGCCAGAAGGACAGGCCCAAGAGAAGTCAGAGAGGTTAGTGAATGACTAGACTCCAGAAGGTTAATGTGTGGCCCCAGATTCTACTATAGAAAGGATTCAGAAATTCAGAAGCCTAGAGAGATGACAACAAGCTAGGAATGGACATTTTGGAAGGCCAGAACCAGTGGTCTAGAACTAAGGCAATGACTGTCATGAGAGCCAGGTGCCCGCTGTCCTGAGAGGCTGGCTGTGCAGTCTGAGGTCCTAGTGGCTAAAGGGTCTGGGGAGATGGAGGATTGGGGGAGGTTTCACAGAGGAGATGCAATCTCAAATGTCTTTTGCTATATAAATATAATTTGGGCACCCAGATAAAAGAAGGGACATTGCTGTTGGAAGGACCAACAGACCCATGAAAAACCTCAGGGGTACAGGAACCCCACCTCTAGCCTAAGTGGTGACTTTGGGCAAGATAGAGAAACATGTACATTCCTCAAGACACTCTTGACACCATCTCTCAGAAAATTGTTATAAACATGCAAACTTAAGGCTCTGTGAATATGAATGGTGCCCCCTGTAGCTGCACAGTGCACATCTTCTACCACAGCAAGCATATTTAGTATCAAGTAGAACTTAGACTGAGCTGTGCCGTGAAGAAAGCGTAGCAGGAGCCTATCCCACTGAATGAAACTGGCTGGTTGTGGCAAGGTGAAGGAAGTACTGCCACAGATGCTCATTCAGCATATGAACAGGCCTGTTTACCTCTCTGGTCACAGCATGACGACCATGGAGGGAAGCCTCCATTTCTCAAGGGCAGGCACAGCTCTTTTTCCTTCCATCTGGACTAAACAGCTTTTCCAAAGCCCTTCGGGCCTGTTCACACGTAGCTGAAATACATCTCTTATTGATCAACAGCATGAAGGGAAAGTCCCCTAAAATATGCTCTTCCTTTTGTCTCTGATAGGCCCTTCAGCATCATCATGCTGTTCACGAAATTTCCTACATTGCAAAGGACATCACAGATCACCGGGCCTTTGGATACGTTTGTGGGAAGGAAGGGAATCACAGATTTGTGGCCATAAAAACAGCCCAGGCGGTGAGTATTCCTGTCCAAGGGGGGCGCCTTGCCTTGTAACTGCAGGGAACAGCACAGCCACCCTGTTGGTCTTTGAAGGCTCGCTCGGATGTGTGACTAAGCAATGCTGATACTCAGCCTCTCCTCTAGAAAAGATACACAGCCTTGGAGCAAGAAAACATGGTCATGTCTTCCAGTTTTGCTGCTGTTTTTTTCTAATGGGTATTTTGTAGTGACTCATTATTTTCCTTTCTGATGAAGCTGAATGGAGGCACAGTGTACAAATAAGTTTCCTTGTGTTCATAGCCTCATTTAAAAAGAAAATAAGGGGAAACAAATAACTGTTTTGCATAAGGCCTACCCTAATTTTATTGCATTTGAAATTACTAATAAAAAAAAGCAATGCCTTTTATACTTATGATTATTATGAATTTGTAAATATAATTAGTTGAAGAAATGAACTTTAGCCTAGATGCAATTTGCTAAGCCAATTTAAACAAGGTAGAATTAATTAAAGATGGAATGCTTTCAGTTTAATAGAAAAAGCAAGGGCTGAGAGTTGTAGTAGGCAAAACCAAAACTTGGCCACTGCAGCTCAGTACCGTTTTCTCATCATGTGCTTTACCACCTGTTACTATAGGCAGAACCTGTTATTCTGGATTTGAGAGATCTCTTTCAACTTATCTATGAATTGAAGCAAAGAGAAGAATTGGAAAAAAAGGCACAAAAGGATAAGCAGTGTGAACAAGCTGTGTATCAGGTATTCCTGTGAATTTGTCCTGGTACCGGAGAAGATTGGGGCTTAGAATAAACAGATGTGAAAACTGACAGTCAGGGCTTCTCTTCCTGCTGCCAAGGAGAAATAAACAAAGATGAAAGGTTCCCGTGTAAATTACAGGCATGGGAAGCAAGCCATTAGAAATGATCCCTTATCCTCTGAAATTCTCCACGTGCTAAAAAAAAATGAAATCTTGAATCTGGAGAAAGATTTCAGGGGAGGAACACCAAAGAAACACAGTTGTTCTGCTTTTGTTAACAATGAGGATGGGGGTGGCTGCAAAGGTTTTTTTATTTTTTTTCTGTGCATTTTCTACCCTAATAACCCACCAGCCTAGCCTACCCAGAGCTGGTTTCTTTGCTGTCCTGTAATTTCTGAATACAATCTCATGTCTTTTCCTTTATATCTTCTGCTTTTACCCTCCCATCCCTCACTCTGCTGTAGACAATTTTGGAAGAGGATGTTGAAGATCCTGTATACCAGGTAACTTCTGAAACTAGTCGGAGTTTAGGGTGAGAAATGGCTAGTGCTGGGGAACAGCATTTTGTCAGAAACCTGAAGGATCTCCTGACTGCAGAGCCTGGAGGGGAACCGGGATTCCTCCTGAGGGTGAGGGCCGCCAGCCCATCTAGGGGTAAATTTCCATAGAAACTAACAGAAGGTTGGCCGGCATCTGTAACATGGGATTTAGAGACGCGCCTCTCCCTTCTTGCCCCTGCTTCAGCCCCCTCTGCAATCTGTAGAAGTTTGCTCCCGGAGCTGACTGTTTTCAAGAGTCTTTTGAATATTCTGAGTTCATTAGAGAGACTGAATAATAAGGTGGCTTCTCTGAGTTAGGAACTGGAGATGGGGACTGACATTTGGGTGACATTTGAACACAAACTGAAAGGAGGGTTTGTAAGCTTTAGGAAGGCTGTGTGGAGAAGTCTCTCTGGCCCTTGGGAGCCAGGCTGCGGCTCTGACTACCTGGCTCGCACCACAGGGGCTGCTGTGAGGAGAGGGAGGGTGGTCCCAGCCATCGCAGCCTGTGGTTTTCTCTGGTGGCTCTTCAAGGTTGCAGTCCAGGTGTGGGTAGAGAGAGGACTTCCCTTGGGTTCAAGTGTGTGCTCTGTTCAGACACATAGAGGAGGAAGGGAAGAGGAGGCCTACCCCACACCCCCACCCTGTGCTCATTCCTAAAGAGAGAAAGAAGCCAAAAAACATGGGCTTGTTGGATATAAAGAAAACAATCTGAAAATTATATTTCTACCTGGAGCATGCATGGGTTATACGTGTGTGGCACATACAACATTAAGTATAAATGCTTATTTTCATATAGAAAGTTGATGCTATGACAAAAATATAATATGGGCAATACAAGTAGTGTAGTATGAATAACTTAAAGTATCTAGCATATATGGCAAACAGATGTCAAAGATGTGCCTAATGGCATGCTCTTGCTTTAGATGCTAGGAGTGAGGATTTGTCTGTAATACGAGCTCAGCCCCTGGCTAAGTGGCTCATTCAGAGTGAAGAATGATTGCCTATTTTCATAAGGCCCAGTCCTTTAGAGTCTGAAACGGGCACAGGAAAAAATTGATTTTAAGTATTTAAAACAGAATACAAAATAAGGGACTATTTATGGGATGTGGGGATTTCGGGCTCCTGAGCACTTCAGAGATGGCTTAAGGCTGTGAGCCTTAGTGAGCCAAGAGGAGCAACTGCTGCAACACAAAGATTATAAAGCTGGAGTCCCACGTGTTCCCAGGAGATGGCATTCCCACTCAGCAGTGCAGCACATGCAGACATTGTGGGGTGAAATGCCATTGAATGAAGAGGCATCCTCCTCCTGTATCTCCAGAAAGATCTGCCAGGGCCCCATGCCGTTGTAGCTGTAGGACTGACCATCAGAGGTTTGCAGTTTTCCTTAGAGAAGGCAGGGGTGTGCATGGCACATTTTGCATCTCAGTAGTTCAGCAGTCTTTTGAAGATATTTTCTGTTGTGCCTGTTCCCTTGATGCTCACTGTGATTTGTATCCTGAATTCCATATGCTTTTTTTTGTCCTCTTTCTTCTTCCCCTCTGACCTTTCTGCTCTGGCTGCTCCGTAATAGTACATTGTGTTTGAGGCTGGACACGAGCCAATCCGTGATCCCGAAACAGAAGAAAACATTTATCAGGTATAAAATTGCTTTCCTCTCCTTACCACAGTATCACCGCCAGTAAATGCACTGACGGGACTAGAGAACCAAGGGCTCCCTCCTCACATGGTCACACAGGATCATTCCAGGCTTGTTAAAATACCTTCTAGTATTTGGCTTTCAGAACTGGCTTCTGGTTCCCCTGCAACTTACCAGTAGTTTTACTGGACAGTAGGGTACAGTGTTTTAATTTTTATGGTCCTCAAGTATTTTCATTTGACTCAAGAATCGAGCATGCCATTTTAGTAAAGCAACCCATTGGAAGGTTGTCATCCATCACATAGTAGGATCTTCATTTCTCAAAGCAATGCACTCATCGAAGTTCTTTAAGCCAACAACATTACTAAAAATGAAAGGTGCATTCAAAGATGCTATTTGAAAATAACTTGGGGAATATTCACTGAAAGAAAGTAGTTAGAAGTTTTAACCCTCTTGAAGGGGAGACAAATTAATATTCTTAAAGGTCTGCCTACATGAAGAACCCTGAACATACTTTTTAACTCATTTGATTCTCATAAATATGTCACAAAATAGGTATTTTAATCCTGCTTTTACAAGGGGAAACTGAGACTCAGAGAAGCTGAACAACTTCCTCAGGGCCATACAACTATTTAGAGCTAAGATCCAACTCCACGTGGGAAAACTCACGCTTTTCCCCCCATGCTTTTCCATTAAAGAGTTTGAATAATTGCACCATAACAACACATCAAACATGTATGACAGCATCCAATTTTTCATTAATTAAAATTTTAGTCTTAATTTGAAATATAAACATTATGAAAGAAGGGAAAATGTAATGTATTTAATAAGTGATTTTAATTTTCTTGATTTACTTGGTTGTGCGGCCTGCCATTCGGTCTTGGCCATGAGGTACTTGTGTAATAAAAGTAAAGCATTTCTAGTTTCCATCAAATGCACAGGATACTAAATGACCAAACTGTAATGTTAGCTCTACCAACAACTCAGTTTAAACCAGCCCCGTGGAGTAATAAGTATTTCTAGCCACCAGATCTGTTTGGTTTGGATTCAAGTATGAGGCTGTGGTTTGAAGTTTTGTTGAAAATCATAGTTTACAAAGTTTCTTTCTTTAAAGAGAAAAGTTGTATTGAAGTCCTCAGTGTCAGATTTCAAAGTACAACCTCTGATATCTGAGTATGAGGCTAAAGGAACCATCAACCAGTCACCCTCTAAAGAGAGGTCATCTTTTCAAACCGAATCAGGCTCCTCACTGTGAGACGTTTTTGAATTTAGACTTAGCTCTAGTGGGCAGGGCCTCACCGTGCCCTGTGGGGGGCTTCTGGGGGAGAAGGGGCGACCTTCCTATGTTGGGAAGTACTGATCTAGGCAAGCAGAGATCTGGGTTCTAGTTCTGGCTCCCACCAACCATCTTTGGCTGAGTGGGAGTGGGCAGGGCACCTGCTCTGAGACTCAGTTTCCCCAGTGATAAAGTAGGGGAATAATTTCTCCCTAACTCACATGTGGGCATGAGAATGACACAAGATAATGGGGAGAGTGTAAATTAGAGGCTTCATCCTCAGTCAAACACTGAGCCCACAGTATGTCGACTGAGGATCTCAGTACAAGCACCGAGGCTGCCATCATCCGCCTTGTCACGGTCCCTTCCTCCTCTGGGCCTGTTTGCTCATCATGAACGAGCGAGTAAGACGGACCAGCCTCTCAGACAAGGCCCTTTTCTGCTCTTTGCCCTAGCGCCTCATCAAAGGACAGTGATTCTTTAGAGAAGCATGTCGGCCTGCTCGGTGGTAACAAGTACTGAGCACTGATGTGGGCCAGGGCTAGGAACGGGATGTACAGAGTATCTTCTTATCTCTCACCACAACCCTGTATGGCTTGAACTATGATTCTCACTTAACAGACAGGAAATCAGAAGCTCACAGAAATAGGGTACCTTGCCCAGGGTCCCAGAGCCAGGGAGAGAGAGAAACCCCACCCTCACCCAGGCTTCTCTGACCTCGATGAGCAAATGAATAAATCCTGAGGCTCTTCAGCTCAGAATTTCCTGATGCTGAGTTTCTCAATTAGATTCTATGTAGATTTCAAGTCACTGTCTAAAAATCACACTTGTTTTTTTAACAGGTCTGACCTCCAGATCTTCCTGTCTGTCCGTCATTAACAGGAAGGGACCATTGAAGGGAATGACTATTTTATCGCCCCCTGTGGGAGAGACCTCTGGTCACTGTCCTCTCAGGCACGGCCAGTCAGTGGGACCTCAGTCTGCCTAACAAGAGATAACCCCTGGGCCTAAAGATAAGGACGGGCATTTAAGGAACAGCTCTTAGAAGCTTCCTGAGTGGATAGCAATGTTTCTTATACTTAGCTTGGCCCAGCGTGGTCTCAGATTTTATCCCGTCCTGTTTTCTGGAATGACCTGGGGCCTAAACTGTTTTAGTGGAGCAAGTAATTTTTGTATTTCAATTTCCTGGGCTATAAAATAGGGATACTGTATTATCTGCTCCTAGATGGGATCTGAACATGTACAATGACAAAGACAGCTCACGGCCACAGCGGGCTCTGTGTAAGCGTTAGCTCCCTTTACTTCCTCCAGCCGTCAGGCTGAGATGTCTTATGATGACGTATTAAGTGAAGTAGATCAAGACTTGCTCACCCCCTCTTGTCAGAGAGCTGAGCGGAAAGCTGTAAACCTCGCTTGGCTTTGTTATTTTTGACTCCAACACAAGAGAGGGGAGGCTCTTGAGCAAATGTAATTCCTCTTCGAGGATCAGTGGTCTCATTTTCCAAACTGGACTAATAATAGTAATTGCCTTTCTCTTTGTATGCCTCAGAAAACGTTATCAGTTGTCTTTTTAAAACAATACAGAACCTGACGGTACAAAGTATTTTTACACCTCAACTAATCTGACCCTTCCAATAACTTGGTAAGATAAGAACAGCTACAGTGACTATCATTTTAAACACAAGAAACTCGAGTCGTCTAATTTAAGTACTGCGCCCAAGGTCAGAGCCTCGGATTCTAAACCCAGCATTCTTCAGTACCTTAACAAGCTTCCTGCCTGAGGAAGACTGCAGCTTTCCACGAGGGCATTTCCCAGATCCTTCACTCAAAAATCATTTTTAATTACCCATGATGTGACATGTATCATTATTTTAAAATGATGAGGGTCTAGCCCTATGTCACCCAACCCTTAAACTGCCTCTCTACACTATTCATGTTGCTGAGCTAACAGTGTCCTCTGCGTGTTCAGTATTTAATGTATAGCTTTAGAGTAATTCCTCATTACCGACTCATTCATTCAGAAGTAAATATGTACAAAGTAGCATGTGCTAGACACATAGGGATGCAATAGTGACAGCAGCGTGGCCCCACCCTCCAGGGGTTTATATCAGCCTGTGGATGCTCACAGCTACCAGGAGAGGAAACTGACGTTCAGAGAACAAGTGACCTCACCACAGTCACACAGCCTGTGGCAGAGCCAGGACAAGGAACCAGATCTCCTGCTTTCTTTTGGCTCAGAACTGTTATTACTCTACAACATCATGTTGCCGGAATGGTCTCCAGCCTGCAGGGACCAGCCAAGCAGTGATCAGAGCCAGAACCAATCCTCTTTCTGGTCTTTGTCCCTTAAGCACTGTTGCCAGTGTTCTGTGTCCAGCATGCCTGGTCAATGTTTGATGCTTTAACATTTCCTGTTTAACCAGTATTTACAGATGGGTAAATAAGGTCAGTAAAATACCTGCCCTGCCCTCAGCAAAGAAGTAGGAATGCAGAGTGAACAGGCAGTTGCAGTGTGATTTGATAACTTCCATATAAGAAAAAGCACATATTACACTCAACTTAAGTAGCTTAATTACTTTGCCATCTTCCCCCCAAAAGACAAGGAGCCCTGTTCCATCAGTGTCCCAGGCAGAGCACAGTGTGTGACATGTAATACCTTCTTGGCTACTTTTATTTCTTAATGGAAGGTGCAGCAGAGGTTACATGAGTACAGAGGGAGACCAACCAGGCCTAGAGTCAAGCAAGGCTCTCAGGAAGATGTCCCAGCTGAGATAAATCTTAAAGGACAAACAGGCGATTGATATCTCACCCATGGGAGAGCCAAGCAGAAAGCTTTTTCAATTATGCACAGTTTGGGTTTATCCATCCCACAGCTTCTTCTCCATTTGCAGGGATAATTGAGAGTCGGCTGTGGTTCAGCTTGCTAAGTGCCCATAGTGAGCAGTGAATTACAGGTGCAGAAATGATGTTTGTTTTGCCCAGGAAAGGGTGAGCTAGTAAAAATAAAAGCGAAAGCTGGTGATTTATTGGCTGTTGTTAACAAGGTCTCTGTAGGCATTCTGAGAGGTGTCCTTTGAGGTGGAGTCCAGTTTTCAGGAGCAAAGCAATACATTCTTCATTGGCTGCCTGCAAAGTGAGGTGTGCATGAGCAGCTCTGAAAGTGCCTCTTCTGCACACCCATGCTCACTCACAGTCCTGGATTCCACAAGCCTCTGCAAACACTTCCAAGAGGGTAGAATGTGATGTAAAAGAAAAAGAAGCAACCAAAACAGCTGTGGGAACAGTGGGAACAGGGGAGTGGTGCCACTGTGCATGATGTAGCAGTTAAGGCCACCTGCCCCGGCTCAGATTCCTTGTTCCCCTGCTCATGACTGCAGGACCCTTTCCAGGCTTCACCTCCCTCCTCTGCAACATGAGGAAAGTTGTCATCCTCACCCGATTGACTTTTCCTGAGGATTACATGAGAATGCATATAAACACAAATGTTTAGAACACAGAAAGTGCCCTGTCAATGTAAGCTCATAGCATTAGTAATAAAGGTCCTGTTTGGCAGCCAGAAAGAGCTGGATTTGAACCTCATCATTTACTAGCTTGGACACTTTGGACAGACTATCCTAACATCTCTGAGCCTCATTTTCTACTGTTTAAACTGGAGATTATAATACCAGCTTCACAGGGGAGAATCCATGTAAGGATTTTCACGTTAAGCTAGTGAGAATGAGAATGATGGCCAACGACTCAAAGGAGCATGTGCAGCTTCTTCCTTCTTCAGGGAGAACGGCGTGACGGGCTGGCCCTACAAGATACTTTTCTTTCCTTTACTGTTCCCCGTGTTCCTCTGCAGTACCTTTGCCCAGCTGCCATTTCCTCGATGCCTACTGAGCGTTAGGTACCGTGCCTGCTCTTAAGGAGCTCCAGTCCAAGGAATAGGAGGACAAATTAGCAGACAGTTCTAGGACCACTGCTGGCAAATCTTTCGGATGGAGGTGTGAGCTAAGCTGTGCTAATTGCTGGGAAACAACTAATGATTGCTTTCAATCTGGAATGTTTAAATGTGCAAAGCCCTTGCTCAGCTGATTAGTAAAGTATTCAGTGTATCTATTGTTATATTACAAACTTTCTTGATATATATACTTACATAATGTATCCATGAAAAAAGCTATCATCCTAACACGTGACAGTATTAGGGCTCCTAATAATTTTTTATTTATTATCTGTTTTCTTATGCTATTCTCATGTTAACCTAATTGAGAAGCAGAGCCAATAGGACCCATTTCATAATAGTGAAGCTCAAAGGAACTAAATGACCTGTTCAGGGTATTAGAGTTGCCGTGTGACCCAGTAAGACCAGATGGTTGAGGAAGAGAAGAGAGGGAAGGAAGAAGACAGGGAAAAATGTTAAAAACAGTCATGATTTTCTGGATTCTAGGTTCATGCTATTTCTGGAATCCATGCCACTTATGGGAAAAAAAATCTTCAGTCACTATTAGATGGCTTTTATGTGATTCCAACAGAATCTATAGGTTGTAATAGGACTTAGATATTTACTGTATTTTAAATAGCCTGGATCTCTAGCTTGCCACTGAGCAGTTTAAGCTCAGCTGTAAACTGCTTTTAGTACCTTTGGATGACTCAGAGGCTCTCAGGGTCTCATTTCTGTCTTTGGTGAAGGGAGGATTATTTTTCTACCACATGCTCTCTGGCATCTTTACAGCATCCCATTCTGTGGTTCTGTGAAGAGTCAATGATGGAGACATCTGTAAACATTTAAGTGATTTGCACACCCGTCTCTTCATCCAGTTTTCCTAAGGGAGGGAGCCTGATACCTTCAAATTCCAGTAGCCCCTTGTCAGTGGGGCCTCTTGGACATCAGGGGCTGCTCTCACACACACTTGGCTAACTTAGAATGAAGTCTGGTCCCTTTGCTCTGTGAAAGTGGAGCATCAGAGTGTTCTGACTGTGCTGATTTGATTTTCCCATAGGTTCCCACCAGCCAAAAGAAGGAAGGTGTTTATGATGTGCCAAAAAGTCAACCTATAAGCGTAAGTATGTCTCCTCACTTCTGCCAGGTTCCTGTGACCTGTATCCATACTGAGACTGTGTCCACAACCTGAGGAAGAAAACCCCATTTCTGAATTAAGTGTTACACGGCTTTGCCAGGACTGCATGCTGTGGCTCCTCAGTGTGTCAGAGGGAAGGAGGCATAAGGCAGAAATGGCGGGGCTGACAAAGGGGTGCCAACCTGGACGATGGTCAGGCCCCAGGAGTGGGAGTGGCTTGACCCGTGCAAACCACCGTCTAAGGGACTTGCCATGTCAGATGTTCCAGGGCATAAGTCTCCAGCCAGAGACTTTAAAATACGTGGTCAAACAGGTGGCAGTGTCTTGGTTCTGAGCAGAGAGTTGCTCATTTGATTTCAAAGTGGTTAAGAAGCTTCAGAGGCACAATAGGAAAAGGGCTGGCCTGGGCTTTTGGAGTGTGTATGAGTCCAGACAGTGGGCAGAACACTGCAGAAAAGATCATGTGTGGTGGGATTGTGGAGAACCAGGAGGTCCACTGCAGCCAGACCCCATCTGCCAGTGGGACTCCTGGAAACTGAGACAAAGGAAATTCCCAAGCTCTGTGGCACTGCCCCATGCCACTGCTGGACCTAGAGCTGTATTTAGGGCCTGCAGTTGGC